CGTGCTTGTTATACTCACTGTGGAACTTAAGAGGTTAATCCTCCTTATTGTGTAAAAAGGCTGTTTGATCCTGTCTTCTCTGATCCTTTCTTCCATGTTCCCCATTTCATCTACTAATAGAACACAGACTGGGGGACACCCTGTACATGCTCAGTTTGGTCTGTACTGCTAGAGATTTTTTTTTTTTTGTTGAGATGGTGCATGTGATCAGCACAGGGCCAATCAGCACTGTCCAGACAGAGTGTCAGGGGCCCTGTAGCCTCATAGGACAATCAGAGGAGAATGAAAACTCCTCCTACAAGCTTTAACCAGTGCTCTGCTGGACACTGATAGAAGTCACAAGACTACTCCAACTGCTGATGATAAAAGGTATTTAGCAGTTTTTATTTACTAAAATAATTGAATTTCCATGTTCTATGTACTGTGGGAGACGAGATATAGTGAATGCAGGGTCCTGGGTTTAGTAACACTTTAAATGGGTGTAGTCAGTACCTATATAAAAGCCAGGTTGGGAGGAGCCCAGTTGCAGTTTGATGCATGGGAGTCAATTACCCCACATCTATGCATATGTAGTCAGCTCAGCAAAGGCCCTGCTCAGGGCAGACATCCTAGGAGAAGTGTACAGAATTCAGTAGGATCAACTGCAACAGTCCTGTCTCTGGAAAAACAAGAGGGGAGTCATGAGCAGGACGCACAAAGCCTATTGGCAAGTCAGAGCCCTCTGAGCAAGTTTTAATGACTCTGGGAGCAAGAGAGAGAGAGACAATGCAAAAAGGGAAGATGGCTTAAGAGTGCTGTGTAATGTGTTGCTTTCACATAATGACTGCTATGGTACATCCACCATATGTGTCATTGGCAGAGTATTGCCAAGCAACCCATATAGTATGTCTATGTGGTGGGATGTGTCAGTGCCATCTTCTGAAGAACACCAGTAAAGTGCAGAAACTACATCTTTTGTGTGGGTATTTCTTTGCTTGAATATAAACACTAACGGCCCAGAAATGTTGTGGGAAGGCCTTTGGCCAGGAGATGGACACAATATGGCAGAAGTAGAGGGCTACAAACAGGTGGGTTATCATTCTATTCTAGAAGAAGCATGGTAGGGACTTGCACTTGTGCCACACCCAGCCAGTCAGAAGCCCTCTTGAAAGTTACATTGTCCCAACACCTGGCTTTATTCTCTGCATCTTATAGACTGGAATAGTAAACTGCATTACACATGTGCCGCATGCAGTATGCACTTTTAAAATATTTGATAGACTGGGAAAGCATTTGATGTGTCAGAATGGAAACAAACTTTCTAAAGATTCGAGGTAAGGAGTTTTAATTAATGTGATTGTCGAATTGTTTTTTTTTATTTTAACATTTCAAAATGTGACAACAATGCATTGTTACATAACATGAGGTTTTAGACTAGAAATTTTCTTGTGTAAAGATCTCTCGTATAATGTCCATGTTTTGTTCATTCAAAAAATTAACCAATAACAAAAGTTGCAACACCATGTATAATTGGCTTGTATACAGAAGTAGCAGATCCAAGGCACCAAAGGCCAAGTATTTTGTACCAGAACTTATTGGGTATCAATATAGCTATATTAACCACTTGCCGAACATGCTACAGCCAAAAGACAGCTACGTCACGGTTGTGCAGTTCTTGGAGGGCATCCATGGACATCCTCCCAGAATCCTGCCCCTTGCGTGCCCCCATGGGGAGCAGATCGGGTGCGCTCTGTGACCCCTGTGTCCTTAAGATACAGCTGATCACTGACTGGGGTAAAGGGCCAATCACAGCGACCCTTTACCATGTAATCAAGTGTGTCCAATCACAGAATCATACATACTAGGGGGAATCCAACTGGGGGAATCAATGGTGGAGAAGGATCTTGGAGTTCTGGTAGATCACAAGCTTAATAATGGCATGCAATGCCAAGCTGCGGTTTCTAAAGCGAGCAAAATCCTCTCTTGTATTAAAAGAGGTATAGACTCTCCAGAGAGAGATATATCATATTACCCCTGTACAAATCATTACTAAGACCTCATCTGGAATATGCAGTTCAGTTTTGGGCACCAATTCACAAAAAGAACATTGGGGAACTGGAGAAAGTACAGAGAAGGGCAACCAAACTGATACGAAGCATGGGGGAGATCAGCTATGAGGAAAGATTAGAGGAACTGAAATGTATTGTCTCTTGAGAAGAGGAGATTAAGGGGGGATATGATCAACATGTATAAATACATCAGTGGTTCATATAGTGAACTCGGTGTAGAGCTATTCATCCTGAGGTCATCACAGAGGACAAGTGGGCACTCTTTACGTCTGGAGGAAAGGAAATGTAATCTCCAAACACGGAAAGGTTTCTTCACAGTGAGAGCTGTGAAAATGTGGAATATATATAATAATCATAAATAGTGCAGCGCTTGAAGCAATACTACCTGCAATACAAAAACTGTGCTCACATACAAATGTGTCAATATTAAATAATATAAATAATATTAAAATATGTTAAATCATTGAATAAAATGTATCTTAAATATATAGTGCCACTCAAAATAATCTCTTGACAATGGTGCCCACACAGTAAAGAAATAATAACAGCCCCCTACAAAGGAGGATAATTTAAACAGTGCTTTAAGTGTAATAAAGTGACCATACTTCAAATACCACTCAAATAATCAAACAAAATGTCCATGAAATAATCCACAGGTGATATAAAATTCATGCAATGTGCAAAATAGTGCTTGTATTCCGTGCGCGTGTCCACACTCTTCACCTACTAAGGCTAAATTGCCTCCTCACCTCCTCCAAGTGACCCCCAAGGACCAGACTTTCAGGATTCAGGATCACCCTGGATCCCTGTTTGGGTATCAGTTTAAGTGCTGGCAGCTTTCAGTAGGTAGACTTCCTTTCAGTGCAGGAGGACTCTTGTCTGAAAATGTGGAATAGACTCCCTCAAGAGTTGGTTCTGGCCAGCTTTAAAAAAAAGTGGATTGCCTTTAAAAAAAAAGGCCTGGATTCTTTCCTAGATACACAGAATATAACTGGATACTAACATTTATAGGTAAAGTTGATCCGGGGAATATCCGATTGCCTCTCGAGGGGTCAGGAAGGAATTATTTTCCCTGCAGGAGCAAATTGGATCATGCTTTGCTGGGTATGTTTTTTCCTTCCTCTGGATCAACTGTGGGTGTAGGATTATAACTTTTTTTTTTTACTGGTTGAACTGGATGGACTTTTGTCTTTTTTCAACCAGACTAACTATGAAACTATAACAGCTAATCACATGTAAACAGACTTGACAGTTATTGGCAGTTCTTTCCCCACAAGCTTTATCTGTGTGAGGAAAGAAGAGCAGATAACCAGCAAGACAGTCAGTACATTGTTTACACTGATAATCAGGGCACTGATCATCAGTGCCCTGATGATCAGTGCAGCCCAATCAGTGGCTATCAGTGCAGCTTATCAGTGCCATCTATGGGTGCCCATAGATGCCACTCATCAGTGCCCTTCAGTTCTGCCTCATCAGTGCAGTCTCATCAGTGCCCATCAGTGCAGATTAACTGTACCCATGAGTGCAGCCTCATCAGTGCTGCCTCATCAGTGCCCATCAGTGCAGCCTTATCAGTGCCCATTAGTGCAGGTCAGTTCAGCCTATCAGTGCCCCTCAGTGCAGCCTAGTAGTAGTGCCCATCAGTGCAGCCTCATCAGTGCCCATCAGTGCAGATCAATGCAGCCTATCAGTGCGTTTATGATCAGTGCAGCCCAATCAGTGCTCATCCGTGCAGCTTATCAGTGCCCTTCAGTGCCATCTATGGGTGCCCGTAGATGCCACCCATCAGTGCTCTTCAGTTCTGCCTCATCAGTGCAGTCTTATCAGTGCCAATCAGTGCAGATTAACTGTACCTGTGAGTGCAGCCTCATCAGTGCTGCCTCATCTGTGCCCATCAGTGCAGCCTCATCAGTGCCCCTCAGTGCAGCCTAGTAGTGCCCATCAGTGCCACCTCATCAGCGCCCATCCGTGCAGATCAATGCAGCCTATCAGTGCAGCCTCATCAGTGAAGACGAAAAATTGCCTATTTGCAAAATTTTATAACAGAAACTAAGAAGAACTTTTTTTTCCCGAAAAATTTCAGCTTTTTTTTGTTTGTTTAGAAAAAAATAAAAAGACCTAGTGATGGTTAAATAGCGCCAAAAGAAATCACTGCAGTCCTTTTCTTACATGCTTTATATGTGTAAGGAAAGTAGAGCCGATAACTGTTAAGACTGTCAGTACATTGTTTACACTGATAATCAGGGGACTGATCGTCAGTGCCCTGATGATCAATGCAGCCCATTCAGTGCCCATCAGTGTAAATCAGTGCAACTTATAGGTGCCCATTGGTGCCACTTATGAGTGCCCATCAGTGCAGCTTAACCGTACCCATTAGCGCTGCCTCATCAATGCAGCCTCATCAGTGCCCATCAGTGTAGCCTCATCAGTGCCCATCAGTGCCCATCAGTGCAGATCAGTGCCGCCTCATCAGTTCCCATCAGTGCCACTTCATCAGTGCCCATCAGTGCAACCTATCAGTGCCCATCAGTGCAGCCTCATCAGCGCACATCAGTAAAGGAGAAAATGTGTTATTTGCAAAATTTCTAACAGAATTTAAGAAAAGGTTTTTTTCCCCAAAATTTTCAGGCTTTTTTCATTTGTTTAGCAAAAAATAAGAAATCTAGTGGTGATTAAATAGCAACAAAAGAAAGCTCTATCTATCTAAAAAAAATTATACAAATTGCATATGAGTACAGTGATGCACGATCGCGCAATTGTCATTCAAAGTGGGACAGCACTGAAAGCTGAAAATTGGCCTGGGTAGGAAGGGAGTGAAAGTGCCCGGTATTGTAGTGTTTAAGAATTTATTTGTATGTCCTTAGGCATCAAATACCCTCCCTAAACACACACACACACACACACACACACACAAACCCCCCCCCCCCGGACTTTTAAAAAGCAGCCACTCACCTGTCCCACAATCCCGTGATGCTCCCGCCACAGTCCGTATTCCAGGCGCCAGCATCTTCAGTGTGGGCACCTGGTTGTGACAGCTTGCAGCTTCACAGCCGGGTACCCACTGCGCATGCGTAAGTAGCGCTGCGCTTCATGAATGGTCCTGTAGTCTTCTGGGACCTGTCACATGTCCCACAAGACTAAGGGGAGGGAGGGTAGGAGGACAACTTCCACTTCTGATCGCAGTGGAAGTGGGAGCAGGTACCTGTTAATTTCGGGTACCTGCTCCCCCTGCTCCCCAAAAGGTGTCAATCCTTAATGGGAGGAGGGGGACCAATCCTTAAAGCGGAACTTCCCCTTTTGGATAGAACTCCGCTTTAAGTACTGTCACTGCTCCCATACGGTCTAAGATTGGCTGAACCCTCTTTCTTCAGCATCATTTTGTGGCTGTTACTATAGGGCTTAATAATGCTGGAACAAGGGTTTTTCAGAGAATCTGTCCTCCAAGATGTTGTACCGTGAGTATCCTGCAACACTAAACTCTCCTCCCTGCATTTGTTCAAGATCTGCAATAAAAAGTAAAAAGACCTCCCTAAACTGAGAGTGAATTTGTCATTGTACTTCTGGAACTGAACATGGGTGGGTCAGCCACTGAGCAGGCAAGGGGGACCTGTATATTTTCAGTGGCCCCTCTGGGGTTATCGCTACCAGGGGCGGACTGACCATTTGGAAACTCGGGCACTGCCTGAGGGCCGGGGGTCAGTAGGGGGCCCCATGAGATGCCCCTGGTACCTTTTTCATAGGCTTTTTTGAGTTTGGGCAAGGACACAGGGGCCCCATGATCCCCTATTGCCCGGGGGCCCCATGAGTTGTCAGTCTGTCCCTGATCACTACATAACATTTTAACAAACCTTTTAACCTGTATTAAATGAAACCAAGTGCTCTGGATTTTATGACTGATCTTTGAAAAACCCAATTATGCTTTGAAAAAAGAACAAGGATTAAAATAACTTCTGCTGGGGGGCGTGTCCAAGATAGCGACCGGAGCGGCCGCATAATCCGGAGCTCCGTCGCCGACCCATACAATCCGCCGCCATCCGTGCTGCTGAGGACTACGGCGGAGCGGCTGGAGCTTTGGGTGCTTCCCCTGTGCCTGGGAGAGAGGCCCCGGAGGATATCTCCGCCATCTGTGGCGGCGGATGCGCACGGCCTGGCGCGGCCGCATGGTCCGGGACTCCGGAGGTTTGTGTCTGCATCCGCTGCCATCCGGGCGGGGTGGCGGATCTCTCCCTGGGACATCGGTGACACCCTCTGCATCCCCTGGGCCTGGGGGAGCGGCGGCGCAGCATATTGCCGTTCCCTGTAGCCGCGGCCTACTGCATCCGGTCCGGACCTCCTCCCCCTCACATCCGAGCCACGGTGAGTGCAGCAAGCGGGTGGATACGGACCATCCTGTCCCCCTTCGGTGACTCGGGAGACGGGACTCCCGCCCACCACACTCCAGGGACCCCCTTCATCTGTGATTACGGCCTTTGCTGGGCCCAGAAGCCCACTGAGGCCTATATACTACCCTGGAGGGGTGCATGGGCTGACTGGATTTGCCCTGGAGGACTCTTGGGCCATCATGAGGGCTCCTCTGATCTGTGCTTGCCCCCCCGTTCCTCATGTCTCCCAGGTGACGCAGAACGAGCATCCCCATCCGAACCCATGCAGGATATCACAGCTCCTTCATTAACTCTGGTCAGTGAAGATGCACAACAACTTACAAAGGGTGACCTGGAATCTTGCTTGGAAACCATGTACACCAAACTGGCCGCCAAATTCCAATCAGAATTACACAAAAGCACTAACGTTCTCTCTCAGGAAATAGCCACATTGGGCTCTAGAACCGATCGCTTGGAAACTAAACATGATGAACTTAGCCTAGCCTATGGGGACCTTCCAGAGAACATGATCATCTACATACGGCCTTTTTACAATTGCAGGCGACAGGTTGAGGACCTTGATAACCGCAACCGCAGAAATAATCTGCGAGTCAGGGGGAATTCCGGAATCTGTATCTGATCTCTCTCACATACCGTTACCAAGCTATTCAAATCTCTCCTTCCGGGTTGCAGCCCCGGGTCCTTTGCCTGTGATCGCATCCATAGAGCCCTGCGCCCTAAACCCCCTAGTGATAAACCGCCTAGGGACATTGTTCTATGTCTAAAGGATTTTCCTGACCAAAGAAGACATACTCAGAGCTGCTCGCAATACTCCAACGATCTCCTTTGAAGGCTCGATTTACAAATTTTTCCAGATGTTTCTCCGGCTAACGTTGGAGAAGCGCAGGAAAATGAAGGAGGTTACAACAGCTCTCTTTTTTCAGCTCGTATCTGTTATAAATGGGGCCTTCCCTTTTAAGTTGATAGTTCCACATAATGGGAGCACATATATTGCTACATCCCTTCACTGAAGGCAGAGAGATCCTGACCAAGTTGGGCCTGGCGGATGCCCCATCGCCTCGGCGTCCCCCCCCCCTACACCTCGTGTCTCTCCTATCTGGCACACCTCCATCTCCACGGAGGGAAAGGAGGAGGGCCCGACAAGAACTGGGCTGATGGGACCATGCCTTCCTGCCTATTATTACTTGCATTGATGTTCCTGGTCTGCGGTTTCCCTTGATTGGGATAGGAGGCAACCCACGGGGTTTCTAATTTTCAGCAACCCCTATACCTTGGGGATATATATATGTGTTTTTTGTGGACGCTGTTGAGCTGTTTCTGTGTTTATTTAGACTATATATGCTCTCTCGTTGATAACTGGACGTGTTTAAAGTCTAACAAGGGTCTTCGGGCCCTCTGAATATCGCCCACTGATTCATGGTTCTCACAACTCTTGGACACTTACCCCCCACCCTGCCTCCTGACATGACCGGAGGAATCACCGCCCGATTGTGGGGTGACGGCTCCGTTTTTCATGTGTTTATGGGGACAGAGTTTGGGCCCGATTTGGCCCTTTGATGTTGGAATTTTTTGTTTTTTTTCAGGTACAGCTAATTGCATACCTGATCCATGTCTCTCAGTTACTCTTTTCATTGTCGCAGCTATCATTGCTTCTTCACTCTTACTGTTTTTTGTCTTTTTTTTCCTCAAAAATTTCGTACATGATGTTGGCTTGATGCCGGTGTGTGCGGACGTCACGACCCCCATTTTGGGGTCTGGATGTCCCCCAGACTGGTAATGCTAACCGTAAGTCTATTTGTTATGGACTTGAAGGTCCTTACATCTAGCCAAATAATTCGAGTATATGTCTTGTCAATGTGTATTTTTCTGCTGATGGTAATAATTTTTGCATATTATGGTAATTCAATGTATCTCGCATAATGTCCAGGGTTTCAATTCGCCAAACAAGCGCAAACAGCCTTTCTCCAGTATAGGCGATTAGGGGCTAAAATATATTTTATTGCAGGAAACACATTTTGCAGCCGCAAAACACCCGACATATTTTCACAAATCCTATAGACAAGGGTATTATACTTTTAACACTCCTCCAAGAGTAGAGGGGGTGGCCATTTTTCTGCATAATTCAATCCCCTTTGAGGTTCAACATGTGTATCGTGCTCCAGACAGTAGGTTTATTATATTCTTAAGGGCACCCTTTCAGGCCAAGAACTTACAATAGCAAATGTTTACGCACCGAATTCGGCACAAGCTACCTTTTTCTCAAAAATTTTTGATGTTTTACATCTTGATAGATTTTTGTCACCCCATCTATTGGTGGTGGTGATTTCAACCTGGTAGCAAATCCTCTTTGGACCGTAGCTCACTCTTGCACTCTTCCCACGCCTTCCCAAAATCACTTACTAAAAGACTAGAGGCCTTCCAGTTAGTAGATGCCTGGAGGGCGCATAATGTAGGAGCTAGAGAATATGATCATTTTATTCTCACCCACATGACTCTTATGCTAGATTAGACTATATTTATTGTACCCCTATTTTATTAGCAAACTCTAGGATAGCGAACATCCACTTGAGTCCTTGGTCGGATCACAATATTATAGCCTTGTCTATCACATGTATGGGACTTGCACCCACTCCCTTCTCATGGAGACTCAATGATTCTATGCTTACGGATGTTGACTCCCGCCATGAAGTAGCTGCATCTATTTTGGAATATTTTCAATCTAATTCGACTCCTGATATTTCTCCAGCCACATTATGGGTAGCCCATAAGGCGGTCCTACGAGGCCGCCTTTAATTTCTCTGGCGCATCATCCAGAAATAGAAAACGATGGCAGCAAATTCTGCTTCTTACCCGAGAGTTGGAAGCACATTACCGAAGTCATATTGCTAACCCCATCTCTTCTTAATAAACAGTTACTATCTCAAAAGCGCTTAGAATTGAATACTCTGCTATCCCAAAAAAACTGAAAAAAGCTCTCTCCGCTGGTCAAAAAAAGCCTCGTTTTTGTTACATAGCAACTCGGCTTCCACTATGTTTGCAAGGAAACTGAATCACTCCATGCGCCCCCCACATATTTATAAATTTGCGTACTAACTCGGGTGCTAATTTCATCTCTGCCTCAGAGGTTTTTGGGCATTTTTGAAAACTTGTTTATTCTAACCTATTAGCCCCTCCACGGTCGGACTCTGTTTCACCAGCAGCCTCGTGGCAGGATTCTATACCCCTCCCTGCTCTCACAACCTTCTCAAGTTGCTTCTCTTAATGCCCCCTGCACTCTGGAGGAGATAACTCGTGCAATTAGCGCCCCAGTAAAAAGCTCTACTGCGCCAGGGTCCAGACGGGTTCACTGCTAGTTATTACAAACATTTTGCCTCTACTTTGGCTCCCTAATCTGATAACTTTATTTAATGATGTTTTTGCAGGGGGGTAGGTTTCCGGAGGAGATGCTGTTGGCTAACATGTCTTTAATACCCAAACCACAGAAAGATCACAGCTTACCCAAAAATTATAGACCAATCTCAGTAATGGATAATGATCTGAAAATATTTAGCCGCATCTTGGCGGACAGGTTGGCCCCTATTATCTCCTCTTTGGTCTCTCCGGACCAATCTGGATTTATCCCAGACAGATTTATCACTTGATAATATTCGCCTCACGCTCAAACGTTATTCAAGATGCTTATTTACATTCTAAAGAGGTCTTGCTGATGAGTCTGGATATAAACAAGGCCTTTGAACAGTGTTTTCTTTGGCCCTATATGTTTTTTTCCTTGCTACGGAAAATGGGCTTTTAAATAACGAATTTTTAGCGGTTATACACGCACCTTATATGACTCTCCGAAGACAAGAATACGGCCTCCCCTGGCTGCAA